GATTCTTAACATAGCGTCATAACTGGGGCCGAACGTACCCAATCCAGCTTAATCCGCCATAGTATTTATGTTAATTTCTAGCATCCGACCATTGCCTTGTAAAATCCCCGGACATTTCGTCAGCATCGTAATCGCCATCGTAATGAGTTATACTTCAATGCCAAGGATAATGCCTTTTATTGACGATACAAATTACGATGTCGGTGAAAGGTCAGGGAAGTTACTAAACAAACAATCTCATATTGGAAAATATCATGAATAATATGGCAGAGGAAGCAAATCTGGGTATCTTCCACAAGGCCTCCGTGTCGTCTCGATCAATCCGTGAAAACGAGATCATACCAACTCAGTACAGCTAAAGGAGACTGTGGCCAAACCTAAGTCCACACCATCTTGACCCTCATATCCTAGTGTCGTGTTGCCGGAGGGACTTGAGAAACTTACGCCATCCTTACTTGCTACTCTATCATTGTTGTAATGTGAGCAATAGAACTGATAGAATTTTAAATGAATGGAGTCTTTCCATTGGAGTAGAATAAACGATTTAGACCGAGGAGTCCCAGAAAATGAGATGGGAGAACAGAAAGGAGAAAGAGGGAAATAATTGTAAAATCTTAATCTGAATCGAAGAAGACTTGGAAAGAGGACAAGTACTGGAAACTTGGCTTTGCATCCGTGCTAGATGAGGCTGTCATATACTCGAGGTTGGTAGTAAAAACCGCGCTTCCAGTATGGTGTATTCGGTAGCTGGGAGGGAGTAGAGTCAGGTAGTGCCACAAGACAGGGAAAGGTGATGGCATAAGAGGACAATCTGATTAAGCTTAGGTGAAGGATATTGGCGAGTAGAAGTGCCAATATAACAATTCAAGAGGGGAGGGGAAGTAGGCGAAAAAATGATCTAGGTTTCTCATACACCGAACCACAAAAAACACCTTGATGTTTATGGAGAAAGCAAAGGTGAGAACCGGGGTGGAGAGGAGACCAGGCTATCTGAAGTCGAATACCGCACTACGAAATAGGAAGTCTTCCGTGTCAAAAACAGGAGTGGGAACAAATTTGACAAATGTTTATTCGAAAATTGGCCAAGGAAATAGAACGTACTTGTTGTTATGGTGGGTAGTAGATCAGCAAAACTGAATTGAATAAACGAAAGTAAACAGACCCCCTACATTGACATGAGACTGCTACCAAACCCAAAACAGAACATTTTGGTATTCTTGATAAAGGCCTTCTGATACGAAATAACTAGCGTAAGTTAGATTGCCTTTGAGTTGCTAAAAGTAAGACAGGTTTCTTCCTGTCAGGGAGGTATTCATTTCGTATGAAAGTGCATGAAGAAGATATTCGAACGTTGATCTAACTAGAAGACGACGGCTGATTCCTGTTGTATTGAGGACGTTTGGCTTCAATACGACATTCCGATTGACGCTGTCCACGAGATATCCTCCCTCGTATAGGGTGAAAATCAGATGAGCTTTCGTTTATCATATGAAGGACATAATCAGAGGCGCAACTCATTCTTGCAAAATTCTCACGTTAACACTAGGTCGACAAGGCCTCAGTAGAGAAATTTTATCATAAATTAGGCCCAAAGGATAATTATTTTCCAGCAATAAAACTTTCGATCGGTCCAACTCTCTGGTTAAATAGTTACTATGCCCTATTCTCATGCTCATAACAATCATCGACTTCAAAATCTCAACTTTGGTTTTGCAACTATGTTTGGAAAAAAAATTAAGAAAAGAGCCAACATATGATGGCTTCCTACAAACGCCTCTTCCCAACTAAACCTCTTTTCTAATAAACAGAACATCCATAAATGGTAAGGACATATTCTCTTCCATTTAAATTGTGAAACTAATGTTCCTTCTATGACAAAATAATCATCCCTGTATCTATCGAACAATTAGGCCGGTTAGTATTGCCTTTTCCAGAAAGTGTTCCTCAAGTTTATGGACTTACACAGTCTCATTCGGAGTTTTTTCTTGGGTCATTAGGCCTTGATGACCAGAGCCTGGCATCAGCTTTTTTTTATCGCTCTGATTTAGGACTTGTATTGTGTATAGACGTTAGCACACATAAACACACTCACTCGAACAAAGGTAGCATAACCAAAATGAAAGATAATTAGCCAAGCCCTTCTATATCTATCTAGGCCTATTAATTTTATTTTGCCTAAATGAGTCTATATAAGAGGTAAGATAGAGCCAGATAGTCATCTTGACCTAGTGTTAACATAAGACTTTTACAAGAAGGAGTTCCAGCTCTGATCATGTTCATCATATGATGGTCGAAAGCTCATCCCGTTTCCACCCAAAGCGAGAGAGGATGTCACGTGGTCAGCGTCAACCTCAACGTCGTACTAAAGCCAAACGGCTGCAGTACAACGGAAGTCAGCCGTCATCTTCTAGCGAGATCGAGTTTCAAATGTCTTCTTCATGCACTTTCATACGAAATGAAAGTATCCCCAACAATGTTATCTAAAGAGATTTATCGAAACCCAGTTACTCTTCGTATCTAGGTTTATTTTGGACAGATTAAGAACTTTTGCGACCTTAGGTCTCATAAGTGTATCTAGGTTTGATAATTGAAGTTCATTAGTCTTGCCAACGAAAAAGGTTTTCTTATAAAGAATGGATTGCAGTTTTAACCGCGCTTTGGTCTCATCATCACATGTCCTCCACCATGGAGGGGATAAACCTTTGGGTGGCAAGGCTAAATGAAAGTCAATGGCATCGTTTTATTTGTTATAGCGTGGCAAATTTAACGTTTTGTTACTGTATTATCTTAAGCGACCCTTTTATTAAAATAGGCTCAGCACTCTACGGAGAGATTGTTGACGATTACAGAAACACTGAAAAAGAGCCCAGAGAAGATCAACTAGGGAACTTGGCTAATTGCAAGATGCATTGTGTTAGTATGTCGATTGTAACCTAGCCACCTGATATCATTGCCTATGGTTTGGATCATAGTAATTACCCAAATCTCAGTGTATTGATCCACTCTCAGACCAAGGATTGCCACCTCCACAAGCCTGCAATCGTCTTCATCTTTATTCTCGTCGTTAGTCGGTTCTGTCCATAGACAGCCAGTTTTATCGTCTCTACGTGCCAGTCGTACCGAGTTGATGTGCAATCGAGGCCGCTCCCTTGAATCCAGGCGAGAACGAACAGCCATATCCACAGCTGTAAGATTCGCCAACTCTTGATCGCGTCCGTCTGGAGTGAATTGAATGAATGGAGTAGTTGAGGCCTCACTAGAATCGGATTTTTCCGGTTTAGTTTTTTGGTTCACTACCAGGTTGCGCCTCCGAGCATCGAGACTCTTCAGTCGGGCTTTTGGAAAATTCGATGGATCCTTTGTCACGTAACGAGGGCTTTGGCGTCGGGGACCGCTGACTAGTACATCATTTGGCTGGCCAGACATTCCGGCGTCCCACTTTCGCAGAATAGATCTTGGCTGTTTGAGAAGGGCCTGGCTAGACTGGCGATCCTGGAGCAAAATAAAGGGATCGAGCAGGAGGCGAGTCCAGCCAATGTGGTGTGGAAATGGCGAGGCTTTTATGGGAGAGCATGCAAATGAGTGTTAGAATGAGAAGAGTGGGTTGGATAAGGTAGGAGGTTTGGTCATATAGGCAAAGGAGGGAAAAGTTTAGATGAGAAATTCATTGGGCAAGAGGCATTTTATGTCTGTTCATGAGAAAAGATATCTTTTTCGCTGATCAGAAATTGGTTTTCGCATTCTAAATATGAATGACTTTCGAAAACCGAACAACTAAAGGCTGTCTGAGTATTTTCTGAGACGCCTAGGCAGGCCGACAATCTAATTTAGAGCTTGTTTTCCAGAAAAAAACCATTTGGATATTTAACATGAGAACACAACTGACCTTTTAATCTAAAATCAATTTAATTATTTGCCATATGATGGGTACTCAGCGGGTGGCTCACTGCATCCTAGCGCCGTTAAGTCGTTTCAGCCTCAGAATATTGTTTCATATTGAAGGATTAGAGCTTGTGTCGAGCAAACATTGATGCCTGATCAGGAGATATTTGAGCGTATTTCGTTGGCGTTATCTGCTGTGATCTGAAAAGCATCTACGGACCTTCATCCGGAGCTGACTATCAGGTTATATTTGGCAGACATTAAATCGTTGGAAGCTGATGGAACTATGGAGAAGAACTAATGCGTTCTTTTGTTCCTTTATGGGCTTGCAAAGATCGCCTATTAGTAAATATTACACCAAAGGAGGTACTCATTCAGTATGCTCCAGCTCCGGGTCGTTGCTAGCCGCAGAGTCGACTGACAGACACACGTAATTTCATGTAGTGCACAGATCAAATCCCGCCTCCTGGCTTTCCTCCCAGAACACAGTCAATAGGCCTTGAAAATCTGATAGGTCTAGCAACAACTCACGATTAGCGAAAGAGCAACAAAAATAGAAAACGCCCACTCATTTGCTTAAGTCAAGCCAGTTTGGTCTTGACGACCAGACCGTGAGACGAACCAGATATAAAATGCTATGAGCACAGAATGTCCAGCTTTCATTCTGTATTACTCTGCAATAGAAAAACTGAAGATGCCAGCTAGAATGCAGGCAAGACCACTGGGTTGGTACCCAGTCAATACTGAGATGTTGGAATAGGACGACAGAAGTGACAGATGATACAATAAGGGCAGGGTACATGCTTCGAGGTGACTCTGAAAACACGACACAAAATTGCGAGAATGAGGCCTAACTAGTCTTCTATATAGAAAGGAGACTGAGGAAAAACCAGACCATTTTGGTCTACATTTCTACAATGAAAATGACTCTCGATTGGCAATAGTGATTATCTCGATTTTGACTTGGAAGATCTGTCAGATATCTAGTTCAAGTTAGCTGGTTGTTAAAGGAATAAAGTTTAGATAGATTTTTTTGGGAAAGGAAGCGATTAAGAACTTTGGTCATCTCAGGTCAGCTTATATTCAAATAAAGTACGTTTACGAATAAGGTTTACTAGGAGGATTCAAGATTGATAGTTGAATTTTCCCAAGATAAAATTAGTAGACCAAACAACGTCAGTAAATTTCACATTGCCTTAACAACGAAAAGAGTTCTTACATCAAGACTTAACTGTAGTTGATATCACTTTGGTCTTATCAAATATAATAGAGTCCAAATGAGAAAACTTTCATAAAACAAGGCCAACTAGAACCTGACAA